AGTTTACATTTCATTTGGTCTACATCTGGTGGTGGTGATTTAACCTGCCAAAGATACTTGTAACCCAGCCGGAGCCGGGCAGTAGTGACATCCAAGAGTCTGCTTATTTTGTTGGATGCACCGTAGACATGTGGCCCCTCCTGCATGATAGAATGATGATAGATGGACTCACTGGTGTCAATCTCCCTGAGCCTTAAGTCCATAAAATTCAGTTGAAGTTCTTTTCGTATTATTGTTCTCAACTACTACCTGACAAGCCAAGATTGTAATCTACTCCCTCTTTGAAAGCATACAGCTTAGCCAATTTATCAGTTCTATCATGCATCTGAAGACCAATGTGAGACGGAATCCACAGCATGTGCACTCTGACTCCACTGTCCACAATCCTACCATACCTGTGTCTGGCTTCTGACACAAGCATGCCACAATTTATGCTTAATGAGTTGAGAGCATTTATGGATGACAGAGAATCAGTTACAATTAAACTGTCAATCTTTGATACATAGATGCATTTCAGTGCAAGGAGTATAGCAAACAGTTCTGTCTGAAGGGTAGAGGCCCAATTATTGATGCGTGCTCCAATTTCTTTAAGAGAGCCATCACTCTGTACGACAACAGCAGCACTACCAGCTGCACCAGTGGATTGGTGAACAGAACCATCAGCGTAAATAATTTGCGAGAGTGTGTGCTGTGTGACTAAGTTGTCAATACAGCTTAAGGCCTCATGTTTGGCTTCAAGGCGAAGTTTTGGTTGTGATTTAAGAAGTAAATTTGGGGGAAATGGAGGAATGGTAGTTTGGAATGGGGTAATATTCCATGGAGGGGAGAAGTGCCGCTGTTGCCTTACTTGACATAGATCATGTATCTGATTCATGCGGAGGTCGGTTCCAGTTTTTTCGATCAAGAAAGAACCAATCCCTTGTGTTCTGGTGATTCGATTCCTGCTCCAGGAAGATCTTATTCTTACTGTGAAGCCACCAGCACCCATCAGTGACTTTGTAATGAGCCAAGAATTACTGTATCGAACAGCCGAATTGGGTACTCCAAGTAGAAGAGTGTACCAGTTAGTAATTCCACAGTCACTAGTGAATGTAGCTCTACAGCTAGTTCACGATGCACCAGGTGTTGCACACCCTGGTATGGATCGTTCTGTGAAACAAGCCAGAATGAAGTACTTTTGGCCACGTATGGCAACTGACATTTCAGAGTATGTTAAGAAATGTAGTGTTTGTATGCAACATAAAGGAAATGTCAATGGTCCTAATCCAATCCAAGTGTACCCAACCACTAGCGAACCGTGGGAAAGAGTTGCCCTTGATTTGTTAACCATTTTTAAATGTTCCCTCCAAGGCAACAAACATCTGTGTGTTATGGTAGACCATTTCATAAGAACATAAGAAAGGAGGAACACTGCAGGAGGCCTGCTGGCCCATACTAGGCCCATACCAGATATTGTGAGTTAGTTCCTATTGCAGATAAGACTGCAGAGACAGTAGCTAAAGCGTTTAAAGAACGCATTATCTGCAGGCATACCACCCTTAAGTCCTTAGTAACAGATAATGGAGGTGAATTCTGTAATGAGATTCTTGAAAATTTGTGTACTTTGTACAAGATCTCTAAATCCACCATTGTTCCTCATCATCCTGCCAGCAATGGGTTAGCTGAACGAACCAATAAGAAAGTACTTGATGTTTTGAGAGCCACTATCAACCCCAATAGTGAAACTTGGGATGAAGTTATACCAGATGTTCAATGTGCTATAAATTCTGCTTACAATGCTTCCATAGGTGATACTCCACATTATGCATTGTATGGTGTAGACAAGCATTTACCCTGTGAGTTGTTATATTCCACTCCGAAACCCAATTACAACCCTGATGATTTCGTAGCAACTCGTACAAGCATGGCTCAGAGTGTTTTTAGAAGAATCCGTGAAACACTTCATAAATCAACAGCAGAATTTACTAGAGTTACTAATAGCCGTGCTAAACCATCAAAAGTTAAAGTAGGTTCAAGAGTAATGCTAACAAATTTCAACAAATCATCCGCAATGCCTAAGCTCGATCAAAAGTTTGTTGGCCCTTATCGAGTTGTAGAACATATCTCTGGCAATAAGTATAAGGTTAGAGAAATTAGTACTGGTAAGTACAAAGAATCGCATTTAGATCATATGAAATTAGTATGCGATGTTGATGATATTGCTGCCCAGACTAATGTGGCAGATGCTGAAAATCCTCTTGACTCTGTACCCTCTACCTCAAATACTCAGTCAGATATTCAGCCTGAATGTCGTTACTCCTTGCGTACTCGACAAGTAATGAGAAACCCACAAGTATCTTTTGTAGATACTCGTTCAGATCTCCCTCAGTCAAGGCATGTGTTAGCCATTGCAGAGGAATTCGATCCTCCCAAAGATGATAACCATTCTGCATATGTAAAACTCACCCTCGCAGAATTGGGTTTAAATGTACATAGTCTGTATAACTAGTTGTCCGAGATGAAGGAAATTGTCAACTGTTTGTTATTAACTGATCAGTTTTCAGAAAAAAAAAATTTTGTGTTCACGTTCCCTTTGTACTCTGAGAATTTGACAGTAATGATCTGAGTGCGCACCAGATGCCCTTGCTGTTAATTTCACCTTGTATATATATATATATATTTATTTCCTCAGAATCCGTAGAGTGCATGAATACAGATCAATCGATTAATTCCATCCCATATTGTACCATGATTTGTTCTTATAGTTTGTAATGCATTACGTTAAAAGTGATTACATTAACACCCAGTACGTAAAACTCATTTTGTTAACATCCAGTATGACACCATCCATTAGTTCTAAGTTATATATGAATTTGTTTCGTATAGAATCAGCCCAGAACCACCTGCCTGTTCAGCCTATAACATAGTAGTGTATGTCGAGACGACATACGTAACATGACCGAGCTGTCAGCATAGTTGCTGATCCCCTTATATGTGTTGTATATCGTATTATAGTACCATCCATGTCCCTTGTATAGAAGATCCCTTAGGCCTGTGACTGTATGACATCACAGGGTACAGCTTGAGGCAGCGAGATGAGCTGCCTTGCTCTCAGTCGGCGTATAGACATCCAGGCAGTGACACGGCAGGCTGGGCTCATCCCTTCCTTACCACAGTCTGACATTATATATCGTTACCATCCATCAAGTGTGTCTACCTTCGACACTCATTATCTCCTTTAAGAACTCCTATGACATAGCATGCTACAGAGAAACAGTATAGCATGCTACAGGAAACAGTATAGCTGCTACAAGAAACATAGCATGCTACAGGGAAACAGTATAGCATGCTACAGAGAAACAGTATAGCATGCTACAGGGAAACAGTATAGCATGCTACAGAGAAACAGTATAGCATGCTACAGAGTAACAGTATAGCATGCTACAGAGAAACAGTATAGCATGCTACAGAGAAACAGTATAGCATGCTACAGAGAAACAGTATAGCATGCTACAGAGAAACAGTATAGCATGCTACAGAGAAACAGTATAGCATACTACAGAGAAACAGTATAGCATGCTACAGGGAAACAGTATAGCATGCTACAGAGAAACAGTATAGCATGCTACAGAGAAACAGTATAGCATACTACAGAGAAACAGTATAGCATGCTACAGAGAAACAGTATAGCATGCTACAGAGAAACAGTATAGCATGCTACAGAGAAACAGTATAGCATGCTACAGAGAAGCAGTATAGCATACTACAGAGAAACAGTATAGCATGCTACAGAGAAACAGTATAGCATCTACAGAGAAACAGTATAGCATGCTACAGAGAAACAGTATAGCATCTACAGAGAAACAGTATAGCATGCTACAGAGAAACAGTTATGCAGAATTACTTCATGAAGAAGAACCTTACATAAGCATGGCTACTAGAGGAGCACACAGTATAGATCTAAGGAATACATATAGTATTATACAGTAGCAACTGTTATAGCATGTCTTAAGAGGAAACATGTTTATTTTGATGCTACAGAGTAAGTATAGCAAAGCTCAGTGATTCATTTTATGCAAGCTAACAGAGCATAATTGTTAGCATGATACTCCCAGGAATGACAGTTACGTATACTACAGAGATTAAGTTAAGCATGATTAACAGAAGTACATACGTATTATACATGTTTATAGAGTAAATTCTTCATGAAGTAAGCGTTACAACCATTTCATAAGTAATATGACTTAAATGTTATTATGGTTAAGATACTGTATGTAGTATTTTATTATTTAATATGTATATATATTCATCATTATTATAGTTCAGTTACTGTTGTACACCTTTTAATGTTGTTGTAAACATGTTTTTATTTAGTTTTTATTACTACATGTTAATTATGAAAAGTCAGTGATTATCATTTATTATGGCTACAGCTGGAACTATTTGCCATTTATTTGTTAGTCACTGTATTACTACCATGTTATTATGTTACAGTTACTGTATTACTACCATGTTATTATGTTAATCACTGTATTACTACCATGTTATTATGTTACAGTTACTGTATTACTACCATGTTATTATGTTACAGTTACTGTATTACTACCATGTTATTATGTTACAGTTACTGTATTACTACCATGTTATTATGTTAGTCACTATATTACTACCATGTTATTATGTTACAGTTACTGTATTACTACCATGTTATTATGTTAGTCACTGTATTACTACCATGTTTGTTAATTATGTATATCCAGTTATGTTAATTATAACCATGTTATTATGTTAGTCACTGTATTACTACCATGTTATTATGTTACAGTCACTGTATTACTACCATGTTATTATGTTACAGTCTGTATTACTACCATGTTATTATGTTACAGTCACTGTATTACTACCATGTTATTATGTTACAGTCGCTGTATTACTACCATGTTATTATGTTACAGTCACTGTATTACTACCATGTTATTATGTTACAGTCACTGTATTACTACCATGTTATTATGTTACAGTCAACTGATGGTGGATTACTACCGAAATACAAGAAAGCAGAAGCCACAGCGGATCATAATGTTCCGGGAGAACATACCGTGGGACAACTTGAGGAGAGTGTCATGCAAGGAGGTGCGGGCTCTGCAACGCGCCTGTGTTGATATTGAACCTGGTGGTAACTACAGGCCTGGCATCACTTATATTGTCGCACAGAAGAGCCATAACACAAGGTAGGTTGGTGGTTTATAGGTGCTGTAACACAAGGTAGGTAGTTTATAGATGCCTTAACAGAAGGTAGGTGATTTATAGGTGCATGGTTTATAGGCGCTGTCACATTATTTTGGTTTGATTTTAATGATTTTTATATAGTAATAAGTAAATTAGCTAGATAGCATTGCTTTATGATGTTTATTGATAGAAAACATACAGTGATTACAAAAAATAACTGACATGGACTACATGGTAAAAATAGGACTTCCAATACTTATGTAGAGCATATTAAACAACAGAAAGAAGGAGCACTGCAGCAGGCCTACTGTCCCATGCTAGGCAGGTCCAGTCACCTACTGACCTAAGCTACTTGCCTATGCTAGTCAGGTTCAAGTCACATCCACTTAACCCTTAAACTGTCCAAACGTAGATCTATGTTTTTTCAGCATTTGAAAATATGTAAAAAAATGTAGAGCTTTTTTTTCTTTTTTTACATTTGGAAACGTGTAAAAAAACATTGATCTACTTTTTTTTTTTTTTTGTTATATTTAAAAATATGTAAAAATACGTAGATCTACTTTTGGAGCACTACGCTTGTGAATGTAGATCTGTCTGGACAGTTTAAGGGTTAAGAAGGAAGGAACACTGCATCAGACCTGTTACCTCATCAGGTGCAAGTCACATCCACTTAAGAAGGAACACTGCATCAGACCTGTTACCTCATCAGGTCCAAGTCACAACCACTTAAGAAGGAGCACTGCATCAGACCTATTAGTACAAGCTACTCAGGTCCAACTCACACCCACTCATGTATTTGTCTATCCTATTTTTAAAACTACACAAGGTTTTAACTTCAGTCAAGGTACTAGGGAATTTGTTCCACTCATTTATAACTCTGTTACCAAACCTGTGCTTTCCTATATCCTTTCTGAATCTGAATTCAAGGTACTCAGTCTTTCCCCATAGGAAAGATTTCTGATATATGAGGCTAACTTTTTCATCCTCTTCTGTACATTTTCCAGTGCATTTATATCTATTCTGTAATACAGTGACCAGAACTGTCCAACATAATCTAAGTGAAGCCCAACCAAAGATATACCTGGAGTATACCTGAAGAGGGTTTTGGGAGTCAGTGCCCCTGTGGACCAGTCTGAGACCAGGCCTTGTGGTGGATCAGGGTCTGATCAACCAGGCTGTTACTGCTGCCGCACGCAAACTGATGTATGACCCACAGCCCGGCTGGTCAGATATATGGAGTTGAAGAATAAACTGAGGACTCATGTTATTTATACTTCTTGATATAAAGCAAAGACTTCTATTGCTTTATTGCACTTATTGTTGTCTTGGTTTTAGATTACTGCTAACCAGAAATCCTAAATTTTTTTCACAGTCAGTGATATTAACGCCTACATTATTTAGTTTATAAGTGTCATGTTATTGTCCTTTCCACCACTTAGAACTTTGCATTTGTCTGTGTTCACCTGCATCTGCCACTTCACTGACCACTGCACCAGTCTATTCAGATCTTCCTGAAGCAGTCTAGCGTCCATGTCAGAATGAATTTGACGGTCTATTTTGGTGTCATCGGCAAACTTGCTTATTCGCTGTTTATTCCCTCAACCCTGTCGTTTATGTAGATTTTGAACAACAATGGGCCCAACATTGACCTCTGTAGACCACTATTTGTGATGCATTCCTGCTCTGCTTTCTCCCCATTTATGCAAAATCTCTGTTGCCAATCTGTCAGCTCCCCCTCTATACAGGAAAAAAATTCTTCTATTCCGTGCCTCAACTTTCCTCAATGGCCTCCAGTGTGGAACTCTATCAAAAGCCTTATTGAAGTCCATATACACAATATCATATTCATTACCATGATCTACCTCCTCAGATACCTTAGTGAAAAAAGTTAGTAAATTTGTTAGGCAGGAACGCCCCTTTGTAAATCCCTGCTGAGATTTATTAACCTCTTGAGGGTCCATGCCATAGTTCTGTGGCTTTGAAGCCAGTGTCTGTGCTGTAGTTCTACATGATGGGCTCAAGTCGGATAACCTGTGAGCGGTAAATTTGGGCCTACATATGAAAGAATGGGTCTATGCAGTAAGTGTTCTCCTTATAAAAAATCCTGCAGCATGCAGTGCACAATGAAAAAAAAAAACAGCAGCTATGTTTTTGGCTTAAAACAGCAACTTTGCAGTGTATTTTTTGTATGGTTTTCATGGTTGTATTCTCGGTTTTCTTGGTCTCATTTGATTGAATAGAAGACATGTTATGGAAATATAGATGATTTTGATTGGTTTTAGGATGGAAAATAGTGTGGAAGTGAGCTCAAAGTAGCGAAAATGTTCGATTTTTGCCGATGTCTAATGCACATCAGCTGGTGGTCTAATATGTGTTCACAAATGCCCTGATGTTATTTATACAATTATTACAAGAACATATAGCAATAAATCTTCTGGTTTTTGGTGTGAATAAAAATCCTTTTTAAATGAAAAATCAATTTGGAATTCATGTGTAAAGCCTGGAAACATAACTAATGAACAAAGAAAATGTTATTTTAGTGCCAGGAATGCCTGCATTGTTTATTCTTGACCCTATTTTGAAGCCGGAATATTTTGAAATGTGTGAAATTGGCCAAATTACCATTTTCTGATCAATTTTTTGGGTAGTGAAAATCGTTGGTCGTTTTCTTGTGCTCACTCGATAAAACAGAAGGTATACTAATGAAATAGCTAATAATTTGGTCAACTGGAACAATGTAATTGACCTAAAATAGGACTTAAATTGGGCAAAATCGCCGATGCCTCAATATCGCTGACACAGCAAAATTCGTGATAACAAAAAGGCACAATACCGTGACTGGAACGATACACAAATAACCCGCACATAAAAGAGAGAAGCTTACGACGATGTTTCGGTCCGACTTGGACCATTGACAAAGTCACACTAACCAGAGGTGGAGCAGGACGGCTATATATAGGCAGGAAGAGGTGGTGGTAGTAGTAGTAGTAGTAGTAGTACAAGAGTTGTATATAATATCGACAAGATGAAATTAAGACACATGCACAACACCCGGGCATCCCCATCATAGACGTTTTGCCATCCAGCCAGCCACTGGATGGCAAAACGTCCACAACAAAGACAACCAGACGCCGCACATGTGTCTTAATTTCATCAGTAGTTGTAGTAGTAGTAGTAGAAGAAGAAGAGGTAGTAGTAGTGGTAGTGGTAGAAGTGGGAAATAAAAAGGACGAGCCAGTCAAATACAAAGGAAGGGGAGCACTGCAAGAGAGCTAGATGCCCACAGAGGGAGAGCAAGCGCACAGAGGTGCATGAAAGGGAAGTGGTGAAACAAATGAAGAAGGAACAGAAACACGAGACAGGAGAGAGAAAGACAACCCAGATGAGAAAAGGAAAGAGGAAAGGGGAAGAGGAAGAAGAAGAAAAAGAAAAAGAAAAAATGAGGATTCAGGTTAAGTCACGGGTGTTCTGAAGTTTGGAGCATTTTACAATGTAGTGGGAGAGGAAGGCATCTACAGAGACGAAGCCAGGGCTAAGGTTCATACAAGGAAAGTTGTGTATTAGAGAGGATTCAACTAGACGGCAACTGTTCGAGTTGGAAGTAGGGAAGACAGTTTTAGCAGAAGACCAGTCAATAGGATGGCTATGATCTCTGATGTGACAGAAAAGAGCACTGTTAGTGTCGGCAAACCTAACACTATTTTTGTGCTCCCTAAGTCTGTTAGAAAGAGATCGACCAGTTTCTCCGAAGTATTGAAGAGGACAGGAGGAGCAAGAAATAGAGTAGACACCAGGAACATCTTTAGAGGGAGGAGAGGTATGAACGAGATTAGTGCGAAAGGTAAGCTTGATGTCTAAGGGACGGAGAGAATTGTTGAGATTAGAAAGACCGGAAATGTAGGGAAGGCAGAGGATAGAAGAGTTCTCATGAGTAGAGAGTTTGGGAGAGAAGAAATTGCATTTAGCACGTGAGAGGGCAGAGTCTATGAAATGGGAAGGGTAGCCAAGACGGGAGAACGAATTATGAAGAGTGGAAATTTCTGTTGGAAGGAATTGAGGATCACAGATGCGGAGGGCACGGAGAAAGAGGGAGATAAGAACACTTTTCTTGACAGGGGAAGCATGATAGGAAAAGTAGTGAATGTACATGCCACTGTGCATAGGTTTACGGTAAACGGAAAAGGAAAAACCTACCTGACTTTCTTGCTGAACAAGTTCTGCCACCTTCCTTCTCCCACTTCCTGAAAACCAACCCACTGGGCACTCCCTTTCCTGATCATGCCCGTCTCCTACTTCAACAGCTCATTCTTTCTACTAAATCACAGGTTGAAGATGCCTTCTTTACTTTCCGTCAACGTATGACAATGTTAGTGTTGGATTTAAGAGAAGAAAGGGCAAGTTGGTAATGGCGTGGAAGGTGGTGATTCTTAGAAAACAGACTAACAAGAGCAGGAAGGAGAGCACCACGAAAAGTGGACAAGTCAGGAAGATTACGGAAGCGAGATTGACGAAAGGAATCAGAAGAGCTAATCAGGGAAATACCAGCGCGAGGAGTAGGCGAAGTGGCAAAGGAAAGGCCAAAACCAAGAAGTTCAAGCTCATACTGAGTGAGACAGAAGACAGATTAGTAACACAGTCAGTGAGGGAGAATTTAGACCAAGGGCTAGCTGAGATGAGACGTTGAAGTTTATTCTGTAGTTTGGAAGAATGAATTTGTGCATTCAGGCGAGCAGTGTCAAAGGCAATGGTAGAGAGAAGGTTACAGAGATCCTGTGGTAGAGCCGCAAAGAGAGCACGTTGACGTTGACGGAAAGTAAAGAAGGCATCTTCAGCCTGTGATTTAGTAGAAAGAATGAGCTGTTGAAGTAGGAGATGGGCATGATCAGGAAAGGGAGTGCCCAGTGGGTTGGTTTTCAGGAAGTGGGAGAAGGAAGGTGGCAGAAATTGTTCAGCAAGACAGTCACGTAGGTTTTTCCTTTTCCGTTTACCATAAACCTATGCA